AGATGTTGATTCGATTTCCGCGCAGGGATCGGAGTCATCGCGCGAGGGGTGCGTGCGGAAGACAAGATACCCAACGATTCGAATGACAGATTGCATGGCAAGCGTTTTTCAGCCGCGCTCAGCCGGGCGTCTTTTCACTGGTCAGCCGGTTGGCGCGGTCGCCGCAAGTATTACATTTAAGTCCTACACACGTCGCGCGCGCGCTGCCAGGACCCAAGAATCTACTTGGATACCACCTTCACGTGTGTGTCCCCTCCCTCTCGACCAAAAGCAGATGCATGCGTTCCCCACCGCTCACTTGTCGGTCCCCCCCCTCCCCCCCCGACTCGCCAAATACCTCACGGCGCTTCGCGCTTGGTGATGTGAGAGCCTGGTCCGGTGAGAACCCGGCGTGCTCCGTCCCGGCTTTGTAGGGATGCGAGGTCAATGGTCAAGCGACTACGGCATGCACGACTATGAGTACACCCCCCCCCCCCCCCCCCGCCCAACCAACCGACCTGGACTGCCTCCTTCACGAGGATGTAATTATTAATCCTCTGAAATGGAGAGGGGGGGTTCGTATCCCTATCCATAACCCTATCCCCACCCGTACACCCTTCCTTCTGTATCGCGAAGGCTTAATAGCTTTTTTGACAGACTTACTCTTGATCGAAGGCGTTCTCCTGTGGAGGAGAGAAGAGGGTCCGGCGTCCTTGTCCTTCCCCGAAACGGGTTCTATCTCCAGTATTCCTCGTATGGGGGGATGGTCGCCGATATTGTTGCTGCTGCCATCGTTTTCCTGTGAGTACATTGTATGTTATTGGGAGAGAGGCACAAAAACAGGCAGAAAAAAATCAGCGTGTTCCTACAATTCCAAGCCAGAAGTTTTGTTTGCAGCAGCAGAACAAAAAATATATACAGAAGCCATCAAGTACTATAATAGTATTGTTTGCTGCTGCAGCAGTGCACGTGGTATTTGTGGGTGTTTGTCGTGCCCTTTGTCTTCCCCACAAGGATGGAAAAAACATTCCTCCCCGCGGGTCAACGTGCTTCACATGCATGCACGGCATATCACAACATAGCATGGCATTTCTCCTCCGACACTCAACACAGACTGACAGATCGTGTTCAACAGCATGCACGATATCATTTACAGCAAGTAAGCGCCCGCACTGCTGTTCAATAACTTGGCAGCTTGAGAGATTGATGTACCATGTACTGCTGTAGCCTCGAAAATATTTTATTCGTGTTCACCCCTACACTAAAACCTATATAGCGGCCATTCGTGGCAGAACCCCCGAGGAATGTTCCGAGAAATGGTGTTCCGACCGTCAACGACACCGCACCCAGCAACAGCAGCTAGCTGTGGACCTGCAGCTGCTGCTGTGTCAAATGACCGGGTGATGGAAAGAGAGAGAGACGACGCTGTGCTCGACACGGGCGTGCCCTGGACGACAAAGCCCATAGACCTGGTTGTTCTCCTGTCGAAGTGCTACAAATACAGCAGCAGCAATGCATTTAACCACAGGGCAGGTTCGTTCAGTACACGCTCCGTCTCCAACATATCCTCGGCACCTCTGTTGGGAACAAAAGCAGTAGCCCAGCAGTGTACCCCACGCTTGTAAATAAATAAATGGCGCATTCAACACTACATTCTGGATAACTACCTGTTGGCACCGTGTGATTGTTCAGCCGTGAGTAACCCTATGCACCAAGGGAAGGGCAAAGATGAAGCATGGAGATGGATAGATGGCAGGCCGCGTGTCAAAGCCGAGGAGTGCCGAGGTTTGCAAGCCTACGAGTAGCTGTAGCTCAAAACGTTTCTTCTACGGTAGTAGTTCGATTCACAAGTCCCACGCTAGCGTGCAACCTCTCCACCCTGGACGACTTTCTCCTTGCTGGCCCGGTGGTGCCCTGCTGTTGCGGGGCGTCAGTAGGCCAGGCATATATATCACCGTCCTTGCTATGACCAACCAAGGAACAAACCACGACAGGGCCGGAAAGGAGGTGCGTTGCTTTTCCCGCCGCAAAAACCCCACCTACCTCTCTCGCTCTGCGTTCACCTCGCTCTGGTCGCAGAGAAGGCTTGCGGTAGAGACCAGGAACGCCATCTTGCAGCATGTTCCCAAGCCGCCGTACACGAACGCTCTGTCTGTTACAACCACCACTGCTGTTCTACAGCAGGACCGAGGCACAATCGCACGCAAGCACGCGGAGGGGCAACGCACACATCTTGACTATAGTATAGGAGAGTATTTCAGAATTTTCGATATCACGGAGCCGCTGCTCGTCGTCGAGACCCACAATACAACAAGCAAGGGATTCAACACAGAACATCTACTGTCTACCGCTGTCGCACGGCAGGAGCACACCGGCACACCTTGGAGGAGAAAAAGCTGCAGAGTGTAAATGCGCAGGACTATATCTTGGTCCATTGGTGAAGACGTTCACAGCTGAAATAGCATTGGGAGATCAGCAATCGATCTGTGGGGTAAGTCATGTTTATGCATACCTGTGGCATGCCTGCTGCGTGCTGCTGGTATGCAAACGCTGCGCTGTGGCAAGCAAGCATGATATGGGGAGGTTGGCGTATTTGCACACCGCTGGACAGCTCTCCCTCTATGTCGCTGCACGGGTCACCACCTCTTGCGTTGTGTCTCTTGGACGAAGAGTGATGTTTTGCTGCTCAGAGTAGCATCGCTTGTGATGGCATGCATCTAAATAGGATGAAGAGATCATGCGGACGACGCAGGGCACAACGCGATGAGCTTGCTACCCAACGCTGCTACTGGCTGTGTAGCATCATCATATGCAACCCTCCTGACCTGTGCAGGGGATCCGAACGCCGGTGTGCCCTCGAAAGTACCTAACCCTTGGGCGATTTCCCCTGTGTAGAATAGGCCGTGCGGTGGTGTTGGTGGTTTGCGCGGGGACGCCGCCGACCGCTGGCTCTGAACTTGAGTACGTACATACGATAGCCGCTGGCTATAACTGCAACTTGGCGCGGTTTGCCCGCATTCAACAGCCGTAGTATGATGTATGGTTTATGTTGACGTCCAAGGTATCTACTCGTAGCTGTTTACATGACCATGTGCCGCTCTCATTCCCCGGATATGTTTTCTACATGGCTTGGGGCATCCGCCAACAGACAGCAGTGGTGTTGTCACTGGGGATGGCACGTTTCACGATTCTTGCATACATACGAAGACAGACGTGGTACATTTGCGTACCAAATCATGTGCATGCACCTTGCCCACTTGCCCACAGCCGCTGTCCCTGGTCGGCGCGCGCACTCGAGTCCCAGCCCCCTCTCTGCAATCGTGCAGATGCATGCATGCACGAAGCGGGTAGCGGCAACTAACTGGGTGATTCGGAGATTGGGGGAAAGTAGGTGCCTTACGCCCCTGCTTATCCTTGTGGGATGTTGACGTTCCTCCGAGGACCTTGCGGTGAACCTTGCCTAGGCACTGCTATGCTACTGCCTCTAGTCTAGTGTTTGTGTGCCCATAATAGGCAGAAGTCGCACCTCCTGTACCTTGGAAACGCTGTTTTCTCCGGAAACGACGTCATTTGGTGTGTTGGGGGGCTGTGCATCAAAAGCTGGTTTGCGGTAACGCGCTTGTCTCGCTCGCCCACAAGCGTCGCCCTACTTCATGGTACAGAAGAGATATTGTGGTGCATTGATGGTCAAGGGGTGCTGATGAGGCAGTCCGATGTGTTCAATAAATGCCGAGGGCTCTGCGACTCCTCCGTGGCTCTAGTGTACATATACCATGATTCAACAAGAGAGGGAGAAAAGACAGAGGACAGACTACAAACGGAGATGTTGGGATTGCAGAGAGAGAGAGAGAGAGAGACTCGAGATGTAAATGCGCACGAAATATGCAGAGTGTTTCCCTTCTAGACCCTGAAACCATCAAATTACAAGCCCATGCAGGTCACACGTCTTATGTCTTGTATACCCACACAATCTCTGAAAAAATCACTAAGATGGCCAACGAAGATTGTACCCAAACTCACGGGCGCCCGCTTCCCTCCCCCTTTCCTTCCCGCCAGCGACACACCGCCGACAGGGGTTAAAATCATCCGCACTGAACACCGGCCGCTACATACAATGAGGGAGCGATCGCCACGACGGTCGTTGCGAGATCAGCAGGCGTCTCGACGAAACGCCAACAGCACCACCAGCAGTTGTGTTGCCGCCGCCGCCGCCGCCGCCGCCGCCGCCGGAGCCCTGCTCCTGCTGCCGCTTCTGTTCTCTCAAGTCTCGGCGGCGACGGCGGTACCACCGGGTGGTAATAGTGCTGCTGCTGGCGTAGACGCCGGTACGGTTGATGAGGCGATAGGAGGAGGGGGGGGGGGGGAAACGGCAGCGGTAAGGGGGGGGGGGGGGAAGAAGCAATTTCCCAAGGGGCCCTTTTGCAGGGGCGGGGCGGAAGTGGGGAAAATGTGGAAGCCGGGCTGGAACCCCGAAAGCCCCCTGGGGGAAAAGGGCAAACCCGTC